AAACCCTTCGAAACTGGGGTGGAAACTTGTACTGGGCCCCAGGGAAGACCCTCCCACAAGTCCAGTGCCTGCTTAATTAGAGATAGCTGAGAGGGTCGGGCATGGTGGCACACGCCTTTAATCACAGCACTCTGGAGGCACAGGTGGATCTCTGTGAGTTTGAGGCCAGCTTGGTCTACAAAGTGAGTTCCAGGACAGCTAGGGCTACATGGAGACCCTGCCTCAAAAACAAAACAAGAAAACAAAAAAAAAAAAAAAGAGAGAGAGAGAGAGAGAGAGAAGGCTGGGAGGCTACAGGCCCTTATCACCCAAAGATGCAACCCTAGTGAGCTGAACTCAGTTCTTGAAACCCATCTAAGGGTGGAAAGAAGGAAACAAATCCACAAAGTTGTCCTCTGACCTACATTCTCTCACTCTGACACATCTTTCCAACCACATGTATGCCTGAGGGCACGCGCGCCACACACCCCCCACCCCCGCCACACACACACACACACACCTTGTACTCGAATGGTCACAGCAAGTAAATTTCAGATTTTTTTCAGAAACTAAATGTTCTTTGGTGGATGAATGACTAAACAAACAGCAGTACACCCAGACTACAATATATTATTCTATGACAAAAAAGGGACCGAGTCTAAATACACACAACTTTTGGGTGAGTTTCTTAGGGACTGTGCCAAGAAAAAAAATAAAAAATAAACCAAACCAAAAAAAAAAAGCTAATCTCCCCAAATATGATCCAATCTATGAAACATTTTTAAAATATCAAGAATAAAGCTGCATGAAGAGAGGGCAGATTACAGGTTGAGCACCCCTTATCCAAAATACAGGAACCCAAAATGCTCCCAAATTGGAAACTCTTTGAGTGTCAACACAATACCATGGTATGGAATCCACAATGTGTTGCAGGATATTTGTATGCTGTGTGAAGATGCATTGCTCTGGTTGGTTAATGAAGAGCTGAATGGCCCCTATCTAGGCAAGAGAGAGAGGCAGGAGTTCCTGGGAGAGAAAGGAAGAGGAGGGGGGATTTAGGTGCCAGGATTACACCAGAGACAACAGGGGACTTGGAACAAGTTGGACTACATAAATGGAGAGGTAAAAAAGCCACATGGTAGAACAAAGATTAATAGGAGCAGATTAATTTAAGTTACAAGATTTAGGTGCCAGGCAGTGGTGGCACGTGCACTCAGGAGGCAGAGGCAAGTGGATCTCTGTGAGTTTGAGACCAGTCTGTTCTACAAGAGCTAGTTCCAGGACAGGCTCCAGAGCTACACAGGAAAACCCTGTCTTGAAAAACTGGGAAAAAAAAAGTCCTCAGGCTGGAGAGATGGCTCAGAGGTCAAGAGCACCAACTGCTCTTCCAGGGTCCTGAGTTCAATTCCAAGCAACCACATGGTGGCTCACAACCATCTGTTATGAGATCTGGTATATATAAAAATATAAAGTAACCAGATAACATTTGTATATAGACTTGAGTTCCATCTTGACAATATCTCATCTGCACATATCATATGTGAAATACTCCAAAATCTGAAAAATAAATGGAATAATCTGAAGTACTTTGGGCCCCAAGCATTTTGGATATGGGATATACACAGTACATAATAGCAGCAGATGTTGGGACTGGGAGCAGGAGAAAGTGGGGTGACTACCCGGGGACAAATGAGGGACTCTTGTACTATTGGAATGGTTCAATGTCTTTTTTTCTCCTCTCTATTGTGAAAAAAATGTATTATCAGCCAGGCATGATGGTGCACACCTTTCACCCCAGCACCCAGGAGACTGAGCCAGATGGATTTCTGTAAGTTCAAAGCCAGCCTGGTCTCCATAGCAAGTTCCAGGTCAGTTAAGGCTACATAGTGAGAGCCTGTCTCCAAAAATACACACACACACACACACACACACACACACACACACACTTATTTATTTGTGTATGTGTGTAATATGTGTATGTTGTTTGGCCATATGGATGCCACATCACATTTGTGAAGGCCCAGGACAACTTTGTGAAAATGCACTGTACATGCATTTTGGGAATAAAATTGCAGTTACCAGGTTTCCACAGCAAGTATTTTACTCACTGAGCTGTCTCACTGGACCCTCCCTATTCAGTCTTGACTGATTTTCCAGTACGTGAACCTACAGAGAATATCACCCACACTCAGACACCAAAGAACACATGTAAAACCTGGAAGAGTCAGATCTGTAAATTGAATCCTTGTGAAAGCCCTGCTTGTGTTTAAGACAGGGGTTGGTGGCATAGGCCTTTAATGCCAGCACTCAGGAGGCAGAGACGGATCTCTATGAGTTTGAGGTCAGAGAGCTGGTCTACAGAGCTAGTTCCAGAACAGTGAGGACTACACAGAGAAACCCTGTCTTGAAAAATTAGAAAAGAAAAAAAAAAAAAAGAAAGGAAGGAAGGAAAGAAAAAGAAAGGAAGACAGACAGACAGACAGACAGACAGACAGTTAGTGTATGGAGCAGTATGTCACTCTTCCTCCTCCTGCCTCACGCACATGCTGCCACCACTGCCTATACCGTGGTTTCAAAAAGTACTACAGCTGGGGAAACACAACGAAGAAGTGTCCGAAGAAGTGTCCGTCCCTCTGTACTGTTCACTGCAAAAGGACAGGAATGTTTTATTGTCTCAATTTAAATTTAAAGGGGAGGGAGGCAGTCTCCTATCCTTGGAGGATGTAAGTGCTGAAGCCAGTGTGGTTGGGGTGTGTGTGTGTGTGTGTGTGTGTGTGTGTGTGTGTGTGTGTGTGTGTCACAGCGTCTAGGGACACTCCCAGGGCCTTCAGCTGGGCAGAGCTTTGTGAGACCCTTTAGACCGCAGATGGTAGTGTGGAGTCCCTAAGCACTCAGAGGAGCACCCTCTGGGCCAGAGGAGGTGAGGTGAGCTGGGCTGAAGCCTTGCTGAGTTGCACTCTGCTTCCCCAAGGACTAGCATTGTCCAGCGCTCCTTAGCTCAGCAGTTGAAGACCCTAAGACCTTCAGGTTGGCCATGAGCCGGTGATGTGAATAGCCAGTGACCACCAGGCCTGGCACTGGGTTGAAATATCCTAGCCAGGGGGCTTCCTTCATTGTCTCTAGGGACCTCTTAGTATTTGTCTGATGTCCTCTTGTTCCCAAATCCAGTATATGTACATGAAGACCTCATGTGCAGCTTTAATTGGAGAACAGATTCCTACTGGAGCCCCTCGAGCTGGTAGCATCCACAGTGAACTTTTGCTCACACAAAGGACTTGCTTGACATTCCAGTTTTCAGCTACCTGCCGTGCCTGTAGATCCGTTTTTAACCCCCTGACTCCAGGGGCCCCTGAAGGAAGGAGAAGGCCGAGCCACTGAGGCTGCATTGTTCTGCTCCAGCATTGTTCTGCTCCTCGCTGACCCAGAAGGTCCCTAGAGCCCAGGGGAATCCAGCCGGATTGTTTTTCCCAAGCCCGGGTCCTTCAGGTGTGAGTGGCAGTGCTCGGGCCACGTAGGTTTCTGTGGCATTTCGGCAGCAGGAAAGAGGAAGGAACTGTGACCTGCACTGCTGTGGCATCAACAATGCGCCCCCAGCAGCAGCCGCAGGGACAGCGGAAGAGAGCTCAGTTTCCATGGTGATAAATCACCGGGAAGGGAACTAGCGGCAGGATTTTTCCCTTCTCTGGGTTCCCTGCAAACCCACTCCAGGCGCCAGGGTGGTTGGAGGCCTGGGCCTCTCAGGACTTTGACCTTGTCTTCATAAGCACAAAAGTCCCACCAGGACCTGGAATAGAGGCACCTGTAATCCCAGCTAGTTATCTTGACCTCCACATGTACAGTATGTCCTGCGTGTCTCTGTACACACACAGACACACACACACATACAAACACATGTTTTGGTTTTTTTGGGTTTTTTTTTGTTTTGTTTTGTTTTCTGGACAGGGTCTTACTATGTAGCCCTGGCTGTCCTGAAATTCACTCTGTAGACTAGGCTGGCCTGGAATTCACAAAGATCTACCTGTCTCTGCCTCCTGAGTGCTGGGGTTAACGGTGTGCACCATCACACCCAGCTTGGTTTTTTTTTTTTCATTTGTTTTTTAAAGCAGACGTCAGGGGCCTGGGAGATGTTTCAGTTGGTAGAGATGCAAGCCTGGCAACTTGAATTCCATCCCCAGACTCCAACCAAAGGTGGAAATCGAGAACCAGCTCCACAAAGTTGCCCTCTGACCTCCACATGCACACCACGGCAAGTGGGCCCACATAATACACTATGCACTCATTCACACACAGGACAGTGCTTTAAAAATAATAATTAAGAAGCAAGCATCAGCTGTGTGTAGTGGTGCATGGCTATAATCCTATTGCTAGGGAGACTGAGGCAGGAGGATTACAGCAAATCCAAGACCAGCCTACTCTACTTGATCATTGGCCAGCTTGAGATACAGAGTGAGATTCTGTCTCAAAAGAAACAAAACAACAACAAAGTAGGAGTCAGGGCTGGAGCGACGGCTCTGCTGCTCTCCCAGAGGGCCTGGGTTTGTGATTCCACAGGATACCTGGCAAGCATATGGTGCACAGACATACATGCTGGGCAAAACACCCACACAACTGAATAAGTACATAAATACTAAATAATCAGGAGCCATCTTCATGAGTACCCAGGTCAGGGAGACAGAGCCATCTTCATGAGTACCCAGGTCAGGATGCTTTGACTCTTTATGGGTGTTTAGCAAAGATGTGATTCTGAGTCCATGACTGGTTGGGCTCCGTCCCTCACACATGGTTCTAGGCACATTATCTATAATATTTCCTTTAGTTATTTCCTTCCTCCAAAGTCCTGAGAGGCCCAGTCACTCCAAGACTGGCCCAGCCAACATGTCTCTTCTGACTATCCAACACCTCCTCCCTTCCTGCTCTGTGCTGGCTGGAACTGGAAGAGATCCCACCTTCACTGCTAGGCCAACAGGCTCTCAGCCTTTCTACAGCTATGAAACACCAAGAGACTGAAATAACCCACTTACCTGCAACCCAGAGGCCAACAGGCAAACTCCACAATGCACAGCTTCCTCTCGTCTCACTCGAATGAAACCAAATTCCACATGCAAATGATTTAGCATTAACTCAATTGTGCAACAGCCAGTTCTCTCCACTTAAAAATACAGTCATCTCAGGCTGGAGAGATGGCTCAGCAGTCACGAGCATTGGCTGCTCTTTCAGAGGACCCAGGTTCAACTCCTGGCATACACATAGAAGTTCACAACTGTCTGTAACTCCAATTTTAGGGGATTCAACACACAGGCAAACGTACACATAAAGGAAAAAGAAAAAATTACAGTTCTCTCAGCTGTACATAGTGTTGCTCAGGAGGCAGAGGCAGGCAGACTTCTGAGTTGCAGGCCAGCCTGGTCTACAGAGTGAGTTCTAGGACAATGAACCCTAGGATAGCCAGTAAGTTTCCGAACAGCCAGAACTACACAGAGAGACTCTTTCTCAACATACAAACAAACAAACGAAAAAAGCTACAAGCAAGAAGCAGTCATCTCCCATTTACAGGAAGAATGGGAACCACTGGTTGTTTGGGTTTGGGGACTGGTGGTCACTGGGCCAGAGGGGCCGTCTGGAGTGACAGAAAGATTCTGAAACTGACTAGGGATGATGGTTACCAGCTGCGTATACAGTCCCCAGACTTAGTAAATAAGAATAGAGGATATTCAGTTAAACTTGAATTTCAAATAACATGATGTATTTCCAAGCTACTTGAGTGGCTGATACAGGAGAGCAATCCCAGGTAACTTACTAAGATCCTGTTTCAGAATCAAAAGTGGGGCTGGAGAGATGTCTCAGTTAAGAGCATTGACTGCTCTTCCAGAGGTCCTGAGTTCAATTTCCAGCAACCACATGGTGGCTCACAACCATCTGTAATGAAATTGGTGCCCTCTTCTGTCATGCAGGCATACATGCAGGCAGAACACTGTATACATAGAAAATAAATATTAAAAAAAAAAAAGTGAAATGGGGACTGAGGTGTAGCCCAGTGATACAGGGCTCTCTTGTTATTCATGAGGTTCTGGGTTCAATCTTCAGTACTGGGGTGGGATGGGAGCATGAAATATTTTTGCAAGTATATCCCAGAATACATAACTCAGGTTTGGAGAGCTGGCTGGGTGGTTAAGAGCACTTGCTGTTGTCACTTGTCAGTTCCAGCCTGTGATTCCAATTCCAGGGGAATCTGTCGTTCTCTTCTGGCCTTGGCAGGCCCTTGCACACATATGGTGCACTTACATAAACTCCATTTTAAACATAAGAAAAAAAAACCTTTTTAAAAAAATATAAAATACAGCAGGGTGGACGTTGGTGGCGCACACCTTTAATCACAGCACTCAGGAGGCAGAGACAGGCAGATCTCTGTGGGTTTGAGGCCAGCCTGGTCTACAGAATAAGTTTCAGGACAGGCTTCAAAACTACAGAGAAAGCCTGTCTCAAGAAACAAAACGAAAATAAGAAAAATACAGAGGTGGTGGCGGCGTGGGCCTTTAATCCCAGTACTCAAGAGGCTGAGACAAGTGGATCTTCATGAATTCAAGGCCAGCCTGGTTTACACAGCAAGCTCCAGGTCTCTCTGCCTTCCAGTGTTTCTCTCCATGTAACCCAGCCTGGTCTTGAATTCTGGATCCTCCCATATCTGTCCCCCAAATGCTGGGGTCATAGTTATATATCACGAAGCCAATGACATTTTGGGAAAAAAACTTCTAATAAGGAGATTTATGAAATACAGATTGTAAATGAGTTGCTGATGAAGAGGTAAACAAACAAAGAAAAAACTCAGCTTTCTCCAAATTCTAGGTGCTTCAAGAGTAGCTGACATTTCCACCTGAGACAATCAGGACACCAGAGGTGACACTTGGAGAGTAAGAGGAAGGAATTTGCTCTATGTGACACTCTTCATATGCATTCCTGGGTGCTTTTCAGCCCAGGACAATGGCTTTAGTATATTTCTTACCCCCACCAAGTGATGGGGGTGGGGGATGAGGGTGGGAGGTGAGGGGTGGGGTGTCAAAACCAAGCAGTAAAAGCCAAAGGTTGGAGGTGTGGTTCCTTCTCCAGAACTTTTGAAATTACAGAAATTTAACAATGGCGCCATCTAATGGACAATTGGAAAAATTAGAAGCACCGCCTTCCTCAGATCTTAAACCTTTTTTTTTCCAGCTATAAACTGGCTTAGCAGGGTGTGATGGCAATTTAGCAAGGCAATCTCTCAAAACAAAAAACAAATAAAGGGTTGGGGTGTTTGTCTAGTGTGTTGAGAGGCCCTAGGTTCAAGCCCAGTCTCTGTCTCTCGTATTAAGACACACACACATCATGGCTCATCCTAAATACTTCCTTTTCAGTTTTTTGACACACTTAGTTCACTTTTTAGGGTTTTGATTTTCTTGGGGAGATTTTTGTTTGTTGTGACTATTTCATTTTATTTTAGACAAGGTCTCACATAACCCAGGTTGGTCTTAAACTTGATAGATAGTTGAAGCAAGCCTTGAACCCCTGATCCCTCTTCCTCTATTTCCTGAACGCTAAGATACAGGGGATGTACCACTCTGCTGATTTTCTTTTCTTGAATTCTTTTTTTTATATTTATTTGTTTATTTTTGGTTTTGAGGGTTTCTCTTTTATAGCTCTGGAGCCTATCCTGGCACTTGCTCTGTAGACCAGGTTGGCCTCAAATTCGCAGAGATCCGCTTGCCTCTGCCTCCCGAGTGCAGGGGTTAAAGGCGTGTACGACCACCTCCTGTCAGTTTTTTTTTTTGGAAAAAAAGATTTGTTTACTTTTATTTTATGTATATTGGTGTTTAGCCTGCATGTATGTCTGAGCATCACGTGCATGTAGTGCCTATGGAAACCAGAAGAGGGCAGCAGATAGAAGCAGCTCTGAGCCTCCAGCCTGCTCCCACACCTCCACCCCACCTCC